TGTAGTAACATTATCACAAATCATACATCATACTTCAATATAACATGATTCACGATTGTAGCACACACTATTGAATTAACATGACCAATGATATTTAATCACACAGACTTACGGGTCCTATGAAATAATTCTAATATGGTCCCCGCGTCACATCCCACCCCAGGCCCCCACCACATCCTGGGCTTGACTCCATTATAGCACGATATTGTCCGCTTTGGGCCCCGACCATGCCCTCACTGTTTTATTCCTAGGAACTCACACAAGAACTTCCTAGTGGGTCATCCATCCTAGGATTGCTCTCACATGAACTTGCTTAACTTCGGAGTTCCTATGGAATCCGAAGCCAGTGAGTTCCCAAAAGGTTTCGTGCTAAGTAGAGATGGGAATATACATATAAGGCATAGAGGATCCACTCCCCTGAGCGATGTGGGATGTTACAATCCACCCCCTTTAGGGGCCCAACGTCCTCGTCGGCACACTTCCGGCCAGGGATTGGCTTTGATACCAAATTGTCATATCCCCACCGGGCCCCCACCACATTCCAGGCTCGACTCCACCGTAGCACGATATTGTCCACTTTGGGCCCCGACCACGCCCTCACGGTTTTGTTTATGGGAACTTACACGAGAACTTCCCAGTGGGTCACCCATCCAGGGATTGCTCTCACGCGAACTCGCTTAACTTCAGAGTTCCTATGGAATCCGAAGCCAGTGAGCTCCCAAAAGGCCTAGTGCTAGTTAAAGATAGGAATGTACATATAAGGCATAGAGGATCCACTCCCGTAGGCGATGTGGGATGTTACACGCCGACTTATCTCTTCACCTAATAGTTGTACATTTTCATTGATGTCACCTAGAAGCTCAATAAATACGTAAATCCTAATAAGGTGCTGCTTGCACGTAATCCAAGATACACATCGCCAAGATGGCTCACTGACCAAGATAGGCCCAAGCTATAACACCTAACCAAAGCTTAAGATTTGTGGCTGAGGTCACGATGAGTCGATTTATGGTGGTGATCAATGTTGGGGGTGGTTGGAGATGAGAGATCGCCAACCAAGAAAATTCCAGAAAACGGCGGCATCGTCCAGCCCTCTACAATGGTCAAACCGAGATAATTTTAGGTGGTTAAACTGATATAATTTTGGATGGAAAATGATCATGAGGTTGTGAGAAGTCGAACCCAGATGGTGGTTAAGATCAATGGCGTCAAAAAATGCCAAAACAGGTGTCGGAAATTTGCCTTGAAGCCAAGTTAGTGACACAAGTCAGACAAAGAAAAACTGGTCACTAGGGTCAGTTTCTATTTTGGGTAACCCCCCTTCAACTTTGCTGGAGTTTCCATAAATAGGGTGCCAAATGTTTAATTTTCCCTACCTTTGTAAGCTTATATATCTTTCATTACGACTTCAATTTGTGTGTTGTTTCGCCCATGCTCTCATAGAATCGAGCTCTACATAGCCAACTCAAGTGTTGACCCAAAAGGTTGAACAAAAATTAAAATAATCAAAATACCCTTAAATTCAACTTCTCGAAAGCGTAAAATATTCATAAGTAAAATTCAAATACACCTCAAGTTAAAAATACAATAATAGGTAATGAAATTCAAGGATGAGATTTCACAATGTGTACACTTCTGGATACTCCTCCTGAGTTTGACAAAACTTCGAAATGAAAACTACAAGCATTACAAATTAGACAATTTATGCATACCAAAGTTTTTGGATGGTAGACTTCGGCAGTGATTTTGTGAAAAGGCTAGATAAATAACCTACATCAGCATAACCAACAAGGTAAACATCATTTCGACTAAGGGGGTATGTTCTATTATGAGATGCACAGGGATATAATAAACCCAAATACGTAGTACATTTAAGGTAACGTAGAATGTCTTTAACACTATTTCAGTGTCCGTGTGTAGGTGCATTTCTATATCTTGCAAAAGATTAGCAACGTAAGAGATGTGTAGTCTAATGCACTGAGCTATGACCAATAAAGCGCCAATTGCACTCAAGTATGGAAATCTAGGCTCCAAAACCTCTTGTAGCCAACAGGCTTCACATTATGCTTCCTCTCATTATGCTTTCTTATGAAAATCCACTTGTAGCCAACGGGCTTTACATGTGAAGATGTAGGAACTACAACCTAAACACATTACGCTTCGAAGTGAATCAAAGTTTGACTTGGATAGCTTGTTTCTAGTTTGACTAATCGGTTCTACGTCGACATTCATCAATGGAACGCGGTTCAATGCCATCGCTTAGCATGATATCAGCAATTATTGTGTATGCAAATGCATCATCGACTATCATCTCATTTTGATTCCAAATCTCATCCAAGCTAGCATGATGGATCAAAATCTCACAATTCCTAGGAGGCAAATTCATCTCTTCAATGACGCTTCCGTAATTTAGAATAACCTCATGCGTTAGATTGGTTGAGCCAACGATGGTCGGATTCAAACTAGTTTCACTAGTTGGTGCCATGTGTTTCCTCTTCTGGGTTTAAGAATCCTTTGACCTATAGGTCTGCCATGCTTTAGGATAGGAGCAGATGATTGGTTATGCGCTAGTGTACTGAGCCACGTAGCAGATGTGGCCAACCGTCTTTCAAGGGCCATTTTTCTATGTACGTGTGGCCTATATATCCTTTGCAGGCATGTTTACAGCTAGTATATTTGATCTTGTCACTTTCACTAGGCCATTAAAAGTATCGAGCATGCTTTGAGCAATGCGATAGATCTAAAATATGTTGCACTTCAGTTTCAAAATGGTCAATATAGGGATCTAGATAAGACATAGTGAGGTTAATTCATAACAATTTGCGGCATTCTCCAAGAACATTAACGTTCTTATCTCTCCATAATGACAAGAAGATTGTCCCATCAAAGTGACAATTTGTAAAATGTGCGGTAAAGAGATCACCTGCTACAGGCTCTAAGTAGTGAATAATTGATGGTAAATCATAACTGGCATAGATTCTCATTCTTCTTTAAGGACCCATTTTGGTATGTAGTGGTGGCACTATTGGTACATAAACTATGCACCACGTAAGTGCGAGACGTCAAGCTCGTACCCAATAACCAACTATGGTGGTGAAAAGATTGGGTGGTGATGGGTCTCAAGCATACCAACATAGTTGTGTGTAGAATTGCATAGTCCAAGTGTTTTCTGGAAGCTTGGTTCACATGACCATGGTCCGAGTGATCAACTGAAGGTGCCTTACGAATGGTTCTGCTAGGCCATTTTGAGTGTGAACATGGGGTACAAGATGTTCAACATCAACCCCTAACTGGCATGCAATAATCATAAAAGTTTATGACGTAAACACTCTAGCATTATCTAGTCGAATTGACTTAATCAGATAATTAGAGTGATGAGCCCTAAGCTTAATAATTTGTGCTAGGAGTTTTCCAAATGCAGCATTGCATATAAACAGTAGGCAAACATGTTACCAACGTGTCGATGCATCAAATAACACCATAAAGTAATGAAATAGTCCACGAGCTGGTTAGATAGGTCCACAAATGTCCCCTTGAATCTGTTTAAGAAAGGTTAGAGGATCGTTTCAAACTTTCTCTGAAGATGGGGGAGTAAAAAACTTACCTAAAGAACAAGCTTTGCAAGAAGTGCAACCAAGAATGATGTGCTTACTTTGGGTAAGCAAATGCTCATGTGTAACTTTGAGGACACAACGCATTATCCTGATTCCTGGCAATCATGCCAAAATATGTTGCACTTGAGTTTTAAAGATATTTGGGATAATAATTGTCATGTTGAAACCACTGAAGAAAATGGAACTAAACTCCTTTGCATCACTTCATATGAAATGGCCAGGAAAGTATTCATGAAAATATGGAGCACTTTTCTTCAGTGGTTTCAACATGACAATTATTATCCCAAATATCTTTAAAACTCAAGTGCAACATATCCTCCCTTGGGTTGGCCTTTCCTCTGTCGACCTTGGGCTTGTGGCTTAGGCTTGGAACCTTTTCAACGACCTCGACACTTCTTGCAACCATTTGGGCCTCGAGATGTGTTGGCATGTGTTTCAGGCATAACGCTCGAGCCAATAAGTCTAGTTTGATGATTCTTCATCAAAAGTTAGTTTTCAAGAGATACTGTTAAGTCAAATCCTCTTTAAAGAACTTGAGAACTTGAGAAGTGATTGGGTTCCATAAATTTCAGAATTGTATACATTTACAAGCTTAAATCTCAGAAGCATAAATGTTGCTAGTTGTATCTTACTTTAGGCAAGAAAATATCTTTTTGGTGATCAAAACGCTCTTCTAGAGTGTGCCATAGAGCTCTAGGATCCTCTTCAACGAGGTACTCAATCTATAGTATGTCATTGGCTTCGAATGAAGACCATGGCAATTGATTTACCAGCCTCACCAACCGGGTTATCCGTCTCAACTTCAATGGTAGCTAGCCCTAAAGCTCTTTACGGTGAGGTGGGGCTCCACGTCTTAAACCCACTTCAAATAGTTTCTTACTAATACTTTATAGAGCGGTAAATATGAAATTATGATTGTCAGTCCTCGATGTGCTTTAGTAAGAAGATTTTAACTTATGCACATTTTTGTCAAAGAGGACTTGTAAATATTGACGTTGGGATCATCACTATTTTCTGTTGGTGGGTTGTAAATAGGTTACTAAAGCCGATTTTCCAAATGTCACTTAATAATACGGTCTAGTGGTATTCATATTCACTTGTAAGTGAGAAGTCTTAGGTTCGATTCTTACCAAAGGAGAATTTGAACTACATTATTGCTAGGTCATTGTGAGGCTAAACTCACCTCATCTTCATTAATGTAGATTATATCGTGTGTTCAGAAGGAAAAAAAGAAAAAAAAAAGAACCGAGTTCCTATATAAGTGTTTCGGCCAAAAAAAAAAAAAATGTTTCGCCCAGTGATCATTAGTTCAAGTTGGGCCTGTGGTAGAGATTAGGAAATGCCCATTGGAAGCTCATTACAAAATTGTCTTAATAACACCTGTTATTCAGTGCAACAACGGGTAGGGTGCCTCAAACTTTCTAGGGTTTAAGCAGCCTCTTACGCCTTCAGGTATATATGCATATATAAAGCTCAGAACACAAACCCGCGGCTGGGCGCGTATCGATCTACTGTACCAGGAGAGGAAGCAAACGGTTGCTCTCGGCCATTAAAATGGTATCTTCATTTTCTCCTTCAGTCAACACGTTTATGCATCTATAAGCGTATTAATATGCATATATATATATGTGTGTGTGTGTGTGTGTGTGTAATATATGTATGAACTGATCATAGTACTCTTCAATTTTACTGATTTGTGATTTGTTCAGTTGTAGGATAAATATTATGGGTTATTTGCAAATTCTAGTTTTAAATTACATTTTGGTGAGTGCATATTTGAGGGTTTTTAATATAGATGCATGAATTTGTCAAAGTCTTAGATGAGATGCATTTTAGGTGTGAGTTAATTGGCATCCAATCCAATAGTGAATGAAAACTTGCGAATGAAATTCAGGGTTTATGTAGAGAAAATGATATATACACACACACACAGAGGCTCTTTAATGGGGATTAGTTGTGGGACACACTCCACATCGACCTTTAACGATCTCAACCATCTATTTTGTAAGTTTTAATTCATAGATCATCCTAGCAAAAATTCAATCCAGTCCGACATCATTTGCCTATTTAATTATCCCGATGAAAATTCATTGTTTCTTATAAAACAAAGTGTTTGTCAATTTCTTTGGACTCATTTAGATGTCTCAAATATTTCCGATTTGGCTAATATTTTGCAAGAATGATATATGAGGTGCAACTTGAAAAATAGACTGTTCGGACTATTGAAGTTCAATGTGGTGTGGGCACCTCAACTAATCCTTTTTTTTTTTTTTTGAATGGGGATCCCTTCCCTTAAAGGCATCCTTATATATATATACACAGAAATGGTGGATGTAATTAAGATGAATTTCCTTGAAAATAATGCTCTGTGTATATTTAGGTAACTGAATTGGGTTTAAAATGTAGATGTATAGTCTTTCAGTGTTGTTTGGTGGTTCTGATCTTAGATTGTGGTGCTATTATTGGAGTGTCACAAACTGCTTCTTACTTCTATCATAGCGTATCGTATGGGACCTTACAGTAGTAACAGCATGTGTTGAAATCTTGAGAAGCTGTCTTGTTTTCTATCAAATGCATGAGGTTTTCTGTAAGAAATTGCCATAGTTCATCAGTGTCAAGAGTCTTTTAATTATAATGTACGGATACTTCAATTTGGCCGCGTATCCCTTATCCGATACTTTTCGGATACGATACTTGTCAAATACTCTTGGAAACGTGTCATGTCAACGGATACACTTTGACTTGATGGATACACATCCCACATTTGAGATACACATATCATGCTTTTAGAATACTTTTACACTTTCAAATACGAAATTAGAAGGAAAAAATTACTAAGAGATGGAACTTTAATTGATATCTGATGAATATGAAGCACTAACCTCTATTGAAACTATGAATACAACTCGCACACTTCTTCTATATATATCAAGGGAATTTTATTTTTTTTGGTCAAACAAAAGATTTTGTTAGATTAGGTGTTAGATTAGCCACCTACGGGATTCGAATCCACGCCGTCAGGCAAGGGCTCAACTCCTTTCCACCACTGTGGCAAAGGGCCACTTGCATATATCAAGGGAATTAGATTTCCAACTTTTCTTCTCCAACAAATCAAATGACCTGATGAAATCGAATTCTTGTGTTATCAAAATATGTTATAAATTATATATTTTTATTTGGTATATTATTATATAATTTTCATCGCTATATATATCACGTATCATATCCTACTTTTCAGAGATTTTTCGTATCACTGTATCGTGTCGTATTGTATCACCATATCCGTATCCGTGCTTCATAAGCCTGGAAATGATTTAATGAGATTTTCATTTTGTTTTCTATTATACATTGAACACAGTAAACACAGTGTTTGTGTTGACTTGATGATGATATCTGTATTATTTGATCATATGCTGGTGTTGTTTCTTTGACAGCCTAAACAAATCCATGAAATTAAGGATTTCCTTGTCACGGCAAGAAGGAAAGATGCACGCTCTGTGAAAATCAAGAAGACCAAAGATGCGGTGAAGTTCAAGGTTCGTTGCTCCAAGTACCTTTACACACTTTGTGTGTTTGACTCAGAGAAAGCTGATAAGTTGAAGCAGTCTCTTCCTCCAGGTAAATTGTTGTGAAAACACTATCATCTGTTAAACACCGCTTGTAACAAAATGTTATTCAATGGTTCACCATACTGTTGCTGTTATTGTGACGTATACAAACAACAAAACTGTTATTTAACGACATACTCCGAAACCAGAGTTACATTTGTATCAGATGAGCATGCAGAGGCCAGACATGTTAGTGGATGTCATACTCTTTTAGATATCTGTATACGCTTCCTGAAGCTATTAGGTTTCTTGATTCTATGCGTAACAATTCGGGTTTCTGGATGTCGATAAGATTCTGCACAGCACAGCACATTGGTGCCACAATCAGTTGTCATCAAAATTCTCGACAAAATTAAATGTGCAAACACAGTTGAATGGTTCGTGTCAGTTTGTGCATTTACAATATTTCTCTAGGCTGCTTTCAATATTGAATTGAAGTCGGTTTTATGTCAATGACATGGGCAATTTTCTTAAGCTTCAGAATACTTGATATTTTTTCGATCATTTGTTTTTCTTACCGATTCAACGATTTTTTTTTTTCTGCAGGTCTGAATGTGCAAGACCTGTGAAATGTAATCGTCAGCGGAGCTTGTCAGATGGTTAGTCAGACTTGAGAGTTGGAGACCTGCCTTGTGTGGTTGTGTTTTTTTTTTTTTTTTTTTTTTTACCGTAATTGATATTTTGCAAGGAATTTTGCATCCATTCTGCACTAGTTTGGTGGATTGTGTTTAACTTGTAAAATTGTGTCGGTTTAGACTAGTTTCGTTGCAGTAATGCAGTTATCAGTTTGAGTCTCTGTTTTTGCTTAAATGATTCCTTTGAAAATTATTCATGAATATGCAACTATATTTGCTGAAAATGGGCAGATTGGCTGAATATATTACATTATCTATTTTTACTTGAAAGAGTTTTTATTTTATTTTGTTTTGTTTGTTAAGTCGATTTTCTTTTATAATTCTTTTCATATTTTAATTTATGTTCTCTAAGTTGCAAAATATCCTCGAAAAAAGGGGCCGAAATGTGTTTTATCTGGACAACATTTGAGCCCAATACTAGTAAAAACTGCAACATCAAAGCCCGTGGGACAAAACCGTAACAAAATTGTCATCCAACTCCACCTTGTGAACTCGCAGCCCTTCACCGGTTCACCCAACAACTCAAGAAGCAAAAGCAAAAGCCGAATGGTACGTTTTTTCGCTCGGGTGTGTTGTTACAGGGAAGTAAGAGTTTATTTCAATGTTGTCATTTAGTACTACTGTTTAGCGGTATTTCTCTTCACTTGTAAGTGAGAGATCTTAAGTTCGATTTTCGCCAAAGACTAATTTGAACCGCATTATTGCTAACTCATTGTAAGACTTAAATTAGGTATTCGGCTTGGCCAAGGCTCAGTTCTCTTAATCCACTTGGCTTGCTTATTGGTTCTTTAATGTTGACACAGATAGTAAGCAAAAAAGTACTTTTGACATGACATGTTTAGGCGGCAAGATCACTCTCATTCACACTGAAGGAAGGATTTTGCAGTCGGGTTTTTCACAAAGAAAATCACTTTTCAATGGCAAAGTTGTCACATCCCAGACTCCAACCTCTCGGATATTGTCCGCTTTGGCATTCTGGGCCTGGACTATGTCGCAGCCACCCAGCTACCGCACGGTTTTGTTCTTGTGGACCGTAGTCCACAAAAGGCCTCTCTGAAGTTAAAGCTCTGGGCATGGATATATAAGGCCCAAAGACCACGCCCTCACGGGCGATGTGGGATACAACAAAAGTTGTAGATCCGATAGGATCAATGCTCAATTATCCAAGTGGGAGACTCATCCTCTAACAAAGTCACATCGACCACTTGGACTTGAACCGTGAACTTACTTTGAAAGATAGGAGCAGTTTCTATAAAAGGTAGCGGAGGCATTGAAGAAAATGAAATTCAACTCAACACATAAAGACTTCTAAAGCTCTGCAATCTACTTTCCAATTATTCCCTTTGTAGTTCAAACATTCATTTGTATTTCAAACATTCCTTTGCATTTATAACTTTGATACTTTCCTTTGTAGCATCGGTTTCCTATATTAAAGTCTTCAGAATATCGCCAATAACTGCAAGAACTTGCCCGATAGATTTGAACTTTGCCTAATTGCTTGTATTTATCATTTACTTTCAAATTATTGTCCTTTCATGCTATTTATTGTCCTTTTGACTAACATTCCATAAGTATTTGCAAGCATTTTTCTTACAATTCTCGCTTTATTTTACTTTGCTTTCTGCTTTTATTTTTCTTACAAGGATTGCAAACTGGTTTGAATCATCACTGATGAATATGTGGTACTGTTTTGGCATTCAATACAAGAGAAATATAAAGTCATTGTCTTCATTGCATAGAAAGAACTTAAATGTGGACTTAAACCCCTTCATAAGGACAATCTTGAGGCGCAAGCAAATGACCTATATAACACCTAAAAGGAAACAATCTGTTGGTCTTGGCTAGCAGTGGCACATCCAAAAACAATTAATTTTGTAAGGGAACCTAAGAGCTTATTCAAGGCTTTGTTAAGGCACCTTCAAATTGACAAGAGTTCATCACTCACGCAGAGGAGTTGTGTGTGAATCTCACAGCCAACGTATTCCATCCACGATCATGTTCGAAAGTAATTGACTCACTAAGAATCTTGTTCATGTATGATTTTGTTCAAGTGATGAATGATTGCTTTTAAAACATGTGAACATACAAACCCTAACAGACGAAGCAGACCCATGAAATCAAGGATTTCCTTCTGACCGCAAGAAGGAAGGATGCCCGCTTTATCAAAACAAAGAGGATCAACGACGCTGTCAAGTTCAAGGTTTGGCGCGACTTAATATGTGTTGCTAACTCATTATTATGAATACGATTAGCTTAATCGCATTTGGGAAGGTTATTTCAATGTTAATTGAGAGTTTAATTAAGTTGTATTAGTTTAAGTGCTAGCTGGCTTTAAGTACGTGGGAAAAAAAGGGAATATATGTAACCAATTGGAAGGGTTTTATCCCAATGGTCATTTTGCTATAAAAAACAATATTAAAAAAAATATTATCTCTCTCTCTCTCTCTCTCTCTCTCTCTCTCTCTCTCTCTCTCATCTTCATCAGTTGCACATTCTAATTTCTGTACTAATTTGCAGGTTGAGAAAAGGTTATGAGAAATTGAAGCTATCATTGGTATCATCATCTCGATTCTGACCTCCCTCTTGTATGCCCTCACAAACCACTACTTCGCGTCTCTCTACCATGGATGCTCATCTTGCTGCCATTGAAGCTTCCTTGGAAACTATTCCTCAGCTCGTCCAATCTTCCATTACTGCAACTAATGTTTCAATGGCTATAGCGATGGACACTAAGTTGGCTATTTTCTTTGAATAGTTTTGTAGGGAGCAATCGTACACATGTGGTGGTGGTAGTTCTTCAGATCCAATAGCTCTAACGGTCAATCCGGTGGCGCCATCCCCGATCCTCACTGACGATGATGTATTCCAGTGTATTGACACTCCCAAACCTCATCGTCGTGATAATTTCGATGGAGGAGGTTATAATCTTCGCCCTCGATGGCAACAACATATGGATTTCCCTCGTTTTTTAAATGGTGACGATCCTTTAGCTTGGATCTACAAGGACGAGCAGTACTTCGCCTATTACAACGCTCCTGAACATTAACGGGTGCTCATCGTATCATTTTACTTAGACAATGAAGCTCTGCATTGGTTCCGTTGGTGTGATTGTATCTGATCTACTCCTCATTGGCCAGATTTTACCAAGGCACTGTGCCAAGAGTTTGGTCCCTCCAAGTTTGAAGATTGCACAGAATCCTTATTCAAACTTAGGCAAGCAGGTACCCTAAAGGAATACATTCTTGAATTTCGTAGATTACCTAATCGTACTATTGAGGTTGGGCTTACACTGTTGAAGAGTTGTTTCATTGGGGGTTAAAGCGTGAATTAAAGTTTGATGTTAAATTGTTGAAACCAACTTCTATTCATGAAGCTATAGCTATTGCTACACAACTAAACACTAAGCTAGTTGGTCTGAAAACTGTGACACATAAACCTGCACAAATTGCTTGACCACCTATGTTGCCTGTTCCCAATGTTGTTAGACTTCGAATGCCAGCCTTGCCTTACAAGAAATTAACTCCCGAGGAAGTGCAAAGAAAAAAGGATAGGTGTGAATGTTGGTTATGTGAGGATAAGTGGGTTAGGGGACACAAATGTGCTTATAAACAATTTTGATGCTGTATATTCTTGATGAGGATGACTTAGTAGATAAAATACCACTTGCATTACAAGTTGAATTACAAACTACGGAAGTCAGTGAGTGCATTTTATGGCACCTCTGAGAAACCATCTGTTAAAACTATGAAGATTCTTGGTATGTTGAACAACCAATCAATTTGCATTCTTTTGGATTCGGGTAGAAGTAGGTGGATATCACTGTCATATGGACCTGTTTGCACTACCTTTGAGGGGTTGTGATGTGGTCTTAAGGGTACAATGGCTATCTTTTGTGAGTCCAGTCCTATGGGATTTCCAGCATTTAACTATGGAGTTCAATATGGGCAAACATAAGTACAAATTATCTCATTGTTCACCTCCTTAGTCCATTATTAATGAAATCACACTTCAATAGCTAGATAAAGAGATCTCTAATTCGAATTTGGGAGTTTTGTTGTATTCTTTGGATGCTGGCAAGATTGATTCCACAGGTTTAACAAATCAACAGCTCATGGAGTTGCAGATAGTTCTGAGAAAATTTCAAGAAGTGTTTGTTGTTCCCACTACACTACCACCCCCAAAACTCATGATCACAAAATCTCATTGATTCCAGGAGCTAAACCACCCAATTTTAAGGCCATACCACTACAGTCTTGTGCAGAAAACTGAAATTGAAAGGGCAGTACAAGAATTGTTTGCTTTTGGTTATATAAGGCATAGTCATAGCCCTTTCTCCTTTCCTGTGTTGTTAGTGAAAAACAAAGAAGGAACATGGAGGGTGTGCATAGACTATAGGGAATTGAACAACATCAATTTCAAGGATAAATATCCAATCCCTTTAATTGATGACTTACTGGATGAATTGTTTGGTTCTAAGTATTTCACTAAGTTGGATCTCAGGTTTGGTTATCATCAAATTAGAATGAATGAAGTTGATGTGGAAAAAGCTGCATTTAGAACTCATAAGAGCCACTATAAGTTCCTAGTAATGCCCTTTGGGCTTACTAATGCACTGCCACTATCCAAAGTTTAATGAATGAAATCTTCAAGCCCTATCTCAGGAAATTCATTTTAGTATTCTTTGATGACATTCTTATATATAGTAAGACTTGGGAACAGCATTTGAGTCATCTATATAAGATCCTGGAGTTGCTGTAGCACCATCAATTGTTTGTCAAGCAACTGAAGTGTTCTTTTGGGCAACAAGAAGTGGAATATTTGGGGCATATAGGCTCTGATGAAGGAGTGACAATTGACCCTACCAAGATACAAGCCATTGTCAATTGGCCCACCCCCAGAAATGTCAAAGAGCTTAAGGGGGTTTTTGGGTTTGACGGGTTATTACAGGAAGTTTGTTAAAGGTTATGGCAAAATTTTCCAAATTTGTACCAACTCACAAGGAAACATGGGTTTAAATGG